CCCCGGCTCGCGGCTGCTGTCCTGTGGCACGACTTTCAACCAACACGCGATAGCACGGTGGTCTTCAAAAGCCGAGCGGGTGAGGTCCACTTCATCAAGGACAGCGCAGGATTTCACGAATGGGTGCAAACACGCATCGAAACATGTGTAGTCGATGCGGCGAGTGGCACCCGACGTGTGCTTCCATGTATAACCGACATCAAACCATGTGTTGGCAGCAAACAGGACATGCGAGGACAGAAACGTGCGGAACCACAGCCCGTTCTCGTTCTCAACGTCGGTCCTCTATCCCCCAGATAGTCGCACGGCACGGAGCCGACGCGGGCGCTCGCATCGATTAAAACGGCGACGCGATGGCCCAACCCCTGCGCCGAGGACACGAGACAAGCGATGCTGTCCCGCCGCGGCACTCGGCAGGCGACTCGTTGTGAGGTGCATGACAAGAGAAGATATGAACAAGAGAACTCACCCCTTCAAGCCTGCCCACAACCTCGACGATGCGAGGCCCACGCGGCACGAATGACTCAACCGAGAAAGGACTTCTCCGCCGAACCCAAAGCTGACAACCGTAGCTCCCACTCTCATCAGCACTGGCCACAAACATGCCGTATTCCACACCTGCAAATTGCTGGTCGTACTGTACACGCCCCTCCTGGATCCCCACAGCATGCACCCCGGCACTCGCAAAGGCGAGCTCCAGCAACTGTACACGGCCTATGCGAGACATGTCTTGGGTCCCTTTAAAAAAAAAAAAAAAAAAAAAAAAAAAAAAAAAAAAAAAAAAAAAAAAAAAAAAAAAAAAAAAAAACTGCACACGTTCGCAGAACAACAAATGAATTCGACTTCGTTATTCGTCGGCCGGCCACTCCTCACGAGCGCCCCAGACGGGGCCTCTGCCATGGCACGCTTCACACCATGACCGGCCGACGCCGCCTGTCAACACTGGAAATCAGGAGGACAAGGGGTGAAGAGCAAGGAGGAGGAGGGATGCTTGCCCCTCATCCGGTAATGCCCGTTGGACGTCTGGGCCTCCGTCTCCGAGGCCTCCTGAAGCACGACTTAATCGTCCACGCTCCCTGCCGGCACCCTCGCCGGCGAGAGTGCCGGTGAAGAGTTGGACCGAGCGAGCTTGCGAGGCGGCGGCTTCGACTCTGGCCCGCTGGCCTGCTCCGCGCTCTTCTTCTGCGCCTCAGCGGCCACTGCGACCAAGTTGTGGTACAACGTGCTCATGGCGCTCTTGGCCTCGTCCACGATGTGCTGAGGCACCACCGGGGACTTCTGCATGTCGTGCAAAACGTCCTTCAGAGCATCGGACATGCTCTGCAGGCAGTCCCGCCGGCCGGAGGACGTAGTGATCTGAGCCTGCAGCTTCTTGCACTCCGCCTCGAGGGATGCCACTGCAACTTCGGCCGCTGTGACCTCCCTGGTGACATCTTGCAGCACGAGCTTCGCCTGCAGATGTCGCGCCCTCGCCCTCTCCAGCGCTGCCGAACACGACGCAAGCTGAGATGATGGCGGCTTACTCTGCGTGATGGCCCGCTTCGCAGCCGCGATCTGGTTCTCCACGTGGCTCCGGGTGGATGCGAAAAGCTCCCCAGGGGGCAACCCTTTGAGTGTGAACTCGAGAGCCTTGATGTCCGCGGAGGTTGGCACAGACTGTCCCGGACCCGCCTGCCCGATCTCCTTGACCAGGTTCAGGGAAGCGATGCCGACGCCCGCGTTCCCCTCGACGCTCGTAACCTGCGAGTTCTCCGAGGTCCTGATGTTTCCTGGCGGTGCCGGCGGCTGCGACGAATGCGGCAGCTCCGGCCAGTAGTCCGCGAGAGTGAGGGTATGAGGTTGTCCACCATGGCCTCCCTGCTGATGCTGCTGATGGCCTCCCTGCTGATGCACTCCTCCCCCATCTCCTGCACCCCCTCCTGCTACGTTGACCCAGCCCTTCTTCAGGCCGCAACGCCTGCACTTGTTCTTCCCCTTCAGGTTCCAATACTGACACGAACACTGCCACCACTGCGACTCCCAACCTTGCCCCCACTGCCCGCCTGCACCTCCCGAGGAACGTCCCTCCTCCTCCTCCTCCTCCTCCTCCTCCTCCTCCTCCCCCTCCTCCCCCTCCTCGTCGTCCCCCTCCTCCTCGTCCTCCTCCTCGATCTCAGGGAACGCCCACCCGAGATGTCCGGCCCTCGACTCTCGGCCCTCGCCTCCGCCGGGCGGCGCCGCAGCCCCGCCTGGCGGCTCCCCTGGAGAGGTTAGTGTCGGCGGCAAGCGAGGGTGGCCTCCTCCTCCTCCTCCTCCTCCTCCTCCTCCTCCTCCTCCTCCTCCTCCTCAGGAGACGGCGGGGCTTTCTCGGAAGCCCTCGCGCCTTCTGAGAAGTGTTCTGCGTCTTGGGGGAAGGCTTGCGGAGCTTCTCACAAGACCGGGGGGCTTCCTGGGCTCGCCGCCGAAGGTGCGGACTCGCCAGTCACGAGAAGGATTGTTGGCAGATTGGCCAATCAGTCGGGCGGGCCTACAAGAGCTGGGGCCCCAAAGGCAGCCAGGCACGCAACACGAAGGGCAGCAAGGCCAGCGCTTCGAAGGGCGGCAGGGCTGACGCATCTCGCCCCTGCTGGACGCGCTCCTTCACGCCGCGCATGACCAAGGGCGCCATCAGCGCAAGAACAAAAAGGTAACCCGCCTGGACACGTGTCCATCACCGAGTTGCAAGCCGATTCCCAGCCAAGGGCCATCGCGAGCTCTTGCTTGCCGCGAACGCTTCGCTGCGTGGCGCCGGGGCCTGCGCGGCGTCGCGCTAGAGGCTGATGCCAGTCTTCGACATGGTCGCGAGCGGAGGCCGCGCGGACTTCGAGACGGACCCCCCTGGCCAATTCGGACATAACCTGCGGTGGGGCGTCGAAACTGGCCCAGTAACCTGCTCACACCTCACCAGCGCATGCAGTGCCTGGACGTGGAGGAGGCGCTGCCAAAGCATGTCGCGGTCACCTCGACCGCCATCGAGCCCACGACCAATAATCGGTGGCAGGCGAGGGGGGGAAGTGAGAAGGAGAAGGCTTTCTCAGAAGTCGGCGGGGCTTCTCAGAAGCCCTCGGCCTTCTGAGAAGTTGTCTTGTGTCTTCGGGGAACGCTTAGAAAACTTGTCAGGAGTCCGGAAGACTTCCGAGCCTTTGGGAAGGACCACCCCTTCTCACTTCCCCCCTGGGCTCGCCTCCGAAATAATCTCATTCTGCAAGGCGCGCCCCTGCGCTCGATGGCGCGAGCGGCGACTGCGGGCGACTCCTTCGGCCTCTGCAGGATCGAGCACGCTTGTTACCAGCGGCCATGGAGGCGATCCACAACGGCCGAGCGAGAGCGGGTTAAGCACGCGCGAGATGCGCCCAATAGGAGGAGAAGGAGGAGGACCAGTGTAAACCCAAAAGATGTCAACGATATTGGAATACACCCTCCCAAGCTCCCTCTTCATAGGCCCCTATAACGGTTCATTTCCATTGAGGGATCTGCTTCGTTGGAAGACAGCCGTTTGAAGACCCACAAGCATGCCATCATTGTTCTCGGGATTACAACGTCACGGAACAACCTGACTGTTACGGTTTGGCGATCTTGGATCGTGCCAAAACGCCATTTTTGGAATTTCAACACTGCGAACCAACGTAACTGTTGCACCCGCACAGTCGTGAATCCTTCCACAGCACCATTTCTGGTACGTTGATCGTGGGAGCCCGCGAAAGTGTTGCAACCTGTTTAGAACGAGTGTGCGCGGCGCTCGGGCGAGAGCCACGTTTTGAAAACGGGTGATCCTCAACCCGTGAAGCTTTGGCAAATGTTTGATACGAATGCGCGCGGCGCTAAGGCGAGAGACACAGTTCGACAACAGGTGATCCCCGTGAAACTTTTGCTAAATGTTACAACGAATGTGCGCGGCGCTACGGCGAGAGCCACGTTTTGAAAACCACGCGCCTTCCATCTGCGAAACTGCTGTCAAGGTATAGCTTCGGAGTCATAAATGGTGAGGAAGTCTGAAACGAAACGCCTGGCCCGCCCTAAAAACTGGTTTCGGGCTGCGACGAGGAGAAGTTATTTACAAGAAAAAGGGATGAAGGAGAACGGAGGACGGAGGACAGACGAGGAGGAGGAGGAGGAGGAGGAGGAGGAGGAGGACGAGGACGAGGACGAGGAGGAGGAAGAGGAGGAGGAGGTGGAGGAGGAGGAGGAGAAAGAGGAGGAGGAGAAGAAGGACGACGGAGGACGGGGGAGGGGGAGGAGGAGGAGGAGGAGGAGGAGGAGCGGAAGGAGGAGGAGAAGGAGGAAGAAGAGGAGGAGGGAGGAGGGGGCGGAGGAGGGAGGAGGAGGAGGAGGAGGGAGGAGGAGGAGAGGAGGAGGAGGAGGAGAGGAGGAGGTGGAGGAGAGGAGGAGAGGGAGAGGGAGGAGGAGGAGGAGGGAGGAGGAGGAGGAGGAGGAGGAGGAGGGCCCCCCCTAAGACGCTCTGGCGTCGCCGGGGATGGCCGCGGCTTCGGTGCCGCTCGGACGTCGCTCGGTGCCCCCAAGGGGAAAGGGGGGGGGAGGGCAAAGGTGGTGTGCTGCGTGACGCCTCGGGGCTGGCACACTGTAGGAGGCCATTGGCCTCGCTGGTAGCTGGCGGTGCCCATCTTGCTCGGTCTTTCCGCTATCCTCCGCCCTCGCCCTCCGCCTCCTCCTCCTCCTCCTCCTCCTCCCTCCCTCTCTTCTCTCCTCCTCCTCCTCATCCTCCTCCTCCTGCTCCTCCTCCTCCTCCCTCCTCCTCCTCCTCCTCCTCCTCCCCATCCTACCTCCTCCTCCTCCCTCCCTCCTCTCCTCCCTCCCTCCTCCTACTCCTCCTCCTCCTCCTCCTCCTCCTCCTCTCCCTCCTTCACCAACTTCTGCTCCCTCCTCTCTCCCCCCAGAAAGCGGGCCGCTCATGTCGGCGAGGTTGGCAACGAGTGAGGTCGAGCGATCCCGCAGCGAAGCCCCCCCGCGCCGCTGGCCGCAAGGTTTCCTCTGTCTTCGCAAGGTTGGAGCGGACTCTAGGCGCCTGGGGTCCGAAGAAGAGAGGGGAGAGCGGGAAGAGGAGGCGTTAGCGACGGTTCAGTTCAGAATGTTAGGATCGGGATTTTGTCGATTGCGTGTCTGTTCGCCGGTTCTGTCGCACCGCGCTTCGGCGCGACGCGCTAGCCGTTTCGCGGTCCCCAGGCGTCCACGTGCCGAGTTTGTCTTAGCCTCCCGTCCGGCGCAGCGGAGCGGCACACTGTTCGCTTGCAGGGGATAGCGTGTCGCTGGGGCCGCCGCAGCGACATGCGAAGCAAAAGTTTCCAACCGTAGCGACGGTTCGAGTCAAAATCTGAAGAGGAGGAGGAGGAGGAGGAGGAGGACCAGAACCAACCCAGCACACATGAAGAATGTTGCAACACGCCCCTCCCCCCCGCAAGGGTGGTATCTTTGTGTAGGTGGTGTGTGTGTGTTGGACTTACAGTTCCTCTATCACACCACCCATGTTTGCAGTGTGCGACGCTTCGTACACTGTGCCTCCGACTATGCTCGATCGCAATTAGCACCTTCATCTGCCGCTCGCGCCTGAGAACCCTCTGCGCCGCTGACTTAAAAGTGTGTCTGTGTTATTGCTTCCTCTCTCCCCCTCTCTATCTCTCTCTCTTGTTCTCCCCCTCTATCGTTCTCTGCCTTTCTCTATCTCTATCGCTCTCTCCCTTTCTCTCTCTCTCTCTCTCTCTTTCTTTGTTGTGTGTCTCTCTCTGTCTCTTTCTTTTACTTACTGGATCCCTTCAAGATGCGAAGTAGATTTCAATAGGCATGGGGCGGATTCCGCATCAAGAAGGTTTCTAGCGGAGTCTAGGTTCCGATGGGGTTTCAAGAGGAAGCAAGCGGATCCCAGACCCAGAGGATTTCTGTGTGGACTCTAAATAGATTCCAATTGGATTTCAACAAAAGCCAGACATATTCCGCATCAGGCACCATGAAACGGCCAAAGCTTGTGGTTCGTAGCCTCCGAGCATTCGGAGGCAGTTTGTTCAACATGCTTTCTCATTGTTTTCCAATCAGTTCCCTGGCATTCCCCTAAAACCATAGCGTTTTCACATCGACTGATATGTTTCAATGTTTCGGGTTCTGCAGCGCGCCGACGGGCGGCACGCTGTTGGAAAATGCAAAGGAAGACTTGAAAATACAGCGCCTTCCATTTAAAAATGATATGTTTTCTGTGCTTTTAAAAAATACGAGACGTTGTGTGCTCCGAAAAACGGCGTGTGTCTCTAGCTTCGTTCAACCACCCATAAAACGATGTGTTGCCCAGTCATATCCTTTCGTTGAAATATCAGTTTGAAAACGATGTGCGCTTCCAGTTGTTTTGAAATCCATGGAAACGCTGTGTGTTCCAATCTTCTGTAATTGGACAACGGGAAACGCTGTGTTTTATAAACGCGCCAAACGCTGCAAAACACAATCGCTTATTGATTGCAGCTCACAGAGATTGGGGGAAAAAAAGTACCCGGACATTCAACCTTGAAAAATTTGGAAATCGAATAGGAAGCGCAGTAAAACAGAGGTTGGTGTGTGGAATGCTCGATGCAAAATTCTGGAAAATGGATTTGTTGATTATTCGTTCTCTGCACAAGAAGATTGGAAATCACAGCGTTTCTGTTGATTCTCGAAACCACAAAGTTTTAAAGCCACAGCGTTCATTTTGATTTTTCGATGCAAGAATTGTAAACGAATCCTTTTTCCACTTCATCGCTGTCTTCCTGTTACAACCCAAGCTGTGGTTTGAGGCGAGTCCTTGCTTATGCTTGTTGGGGTCTGCTTTGGCGCCTGCCAAACACCTTGCTTCGTCGCCCGAGCATGTCAACATGAGCATGCTATGAGGTCGCAACGACAGATGCGCGCCAAAAAGCAACATGTTCAAACCAATGTTCGGTTCGGTGTTAAGCTTGGGTTATGCTTATCTAGTTTTGCTTGGGTGTCTGCCAGACACCGACGGAAGGTGTTGTTTTGATTCTCCTGTAGGGTTGCCACGACAGGTGCGCGCGAAAGAGCGACATCTTGAAAATAATGTTTGGTTTGGTGCAAAACCTTCTCTATGCGTGTCTGGGTTTGTTTGGGTACCTGCCAGACAAAGTGTTTCTTCGTCGGAGGGTTTTGCTTTAGTTGTCCCATAGGGGGTACAACGACAGACTTGCGCGAAAGCGCAACATGCTCAAAACAAGGTTTGATATAAGGATCACTCTTGTTTATGCTGCTTGTTTGGGTTTACTTTGGCGCCTGTCCACAGTTGCTTCGTCGCCAAAAGTTTCGAGTAACTCGCCGACTCGTTTCCGCCCACTTCTGCTCGAAGCACGTTTCTGCCAGTTGCCGCAAATGTCCCATTCGTGCTCGCAAAGTGCAAGAAGAAATGTTCATGAACATCATTGGCCACGCAGCGGAGTCACATGAATCTAGAGGCCTGAGAGAAAGAGAGAGAGAGAGAGGGAAAGACAGAAAGAC